AGAGCTGTGACTGACCCAAGGTCACCCAACTGGCTTCACGTGGAGGAGTGGGGGAATCAAACCCCCGTTCTCCAGATTAGAGTCCACTGCTCTCTAACCCCTACACCACGCTGGCTCTCTGGACCAAGCTGGCGCCCTAGATTAACTGCTGCTTTGGAAAGAAATCTCCCGACTACCGATCCCGATGGCAAAACGTTTTGTACACGGTGCCCTGTAGCATGTTGTTATGGCTTCCCCTCCAAAGAATCCTGGGAACGGTATGCTCTGTCAGGACTACAACTCCCAAGTCCCCCAGGGAGAAAGAATCACCTTAAAACCAGTATAAAGTCTCTAGTGTTGATCTGCAGCCGACTTACAGCGACCCCGTAGGGCAATTCAAGGTAAGAGGCAAACAGAGGTGGGTTGTCACTGTCTGGCACTGCCACCCTGGACGTGGTGGTCTCCCATCCAAATACTAACCAGTTTAGCTTCCACGATCTGATGAGATTGGACCAGCCTGGGCCATACAGGATCAGCCCTTAATTCCCCTAAATACCGTGATTTCATACTTCTCCCCACATAGCAAGAGCAAACGTCAAAAAGTAAATGTAGTGCATGCTGGTATTAAGTAAGGCTTGTATCATTTTATTTTCTGCTCAAGGCGATAGCTCTAAGAGCAGTACTAGATAGACAGGTATGATATAGTGTATGTGTGGTATTTTGGCTGTTCTTGGGACGAGGGCACGGCAAAAAGAGCCGTCGGTCATGTGACGTTCTGCCCTGTTCCGCATGCAATTTTGGACGCTTTTTAAAAATATGCCCATTTCCCCCTCTAATCCTTCACACCTTTCCTGACCGTAACCCGATGCTCCCTCTAAGCTGTGGAGTGCTGTGAGCCAATATTCTACTTTGTGAGCGACTGGCATGAAAGCTGTGAGCGAGCGGTTTGGCTCCTGCGCAAATTAGTTTGCTCTGGAGCCCCATCCTTCCTGAGCTAAGGCAAAGAACGTGTGAGCCGGAGGCTAAAAAGCTGTGAGCTAGCTCACCACTAACTCAGCTTAGAGGGAACGCTGACTGTAACTGGTTGGCCTTTTTAGCCGAATATGCGGATCACTTTAGCCAAATATACACATATCCCTCTTGTGATCAATAACGATAACTGGCATCTAGGAGCTGCTGTGTGGGTGTTCAAAGCAGCTCACGTACGTTATCTCAGGGTGGAACTCGACCAGAGATGTACACCAGTGTTCCCTCTAAGCTGAGTTAGTGTGAGCTAGCTCACAGTTTTTTAGCCTCCAGCTCACACATTTTTGTCTTAGCTCAGGAAGGATGGCTCCAGGGCAAACTAATTTATGCAGTAGCCAAATCACCTGCTCACAACTTTAATGCCAGTAGCTCACAGAGTAGAATTTTTGCTCACAGGACTCCACAGCTTAGAGGGAACATGGATGTACACACGTGTGTCCCGACTGGTCACTTGAAAAATAAAATCTAAAACAGAACCCAGGAAGCAGAAGGTGAAGGGACACTTATCTCGTTCCACGTGACCGTCTAAAGATTTATTTAATCAAAATGGCACACGCAGCCGTTTTCTCCCCAGAGGGAGACCCAAAACGGCTTACGGCATCGCTATCCTCTCCACCACCAGCCTGTGGTTGACTTTCACCCCAAATGGCCCAAGGTCACCCAGTCGCCTTCCATGGTATGGCAGGGATTCGAACCTGCCTCTCCCTGCCTCTGGGTCTCCTGGAAACTTTGCTATCCTAAATAAATGTATGCTGAAGTCCTACTGATTTCAACGGAACTGGATGTTTTTAAAAGAAGGAATTCTCGGAGGAGACTGGCTCCTCTTCTCTTTCAGTCGCCAGGAATGCTCGCGAAACGCAGGTTTCAGCCCCGCCGAAACATACACAAGCATTCTGGAATGGTCAGGAGGAGTGACTACTTCCCACTGAAAGTGACCAGTGCCAAAAAAAAGTCCCAGCTCCCAGTTCCAACGTCCTTCCCCAAACCATATGCTAAAACTACGCGAATCGGAGAATCATCAAAGTCAAGCAAGACCTTAGAGAGAAACAAGATTTCGGGGGCGGGATCATCAAAGTCAAGTTACTCAGGATGTTCCCTCTAAGCAGTGGAATCTTGTGAGCCAAAATTCTGCTTTGTTAGCTGCTGGCATTAAAGTTGTGAGCCAGCCATTTGGCTACTGCATCAATTAGTTTGCTCTGGAGCCATCCTTCCTGAGCTGAGACAAAAAGGTGTGAGCCGGAGGCTAAAAAACGGTGAGCTGGCTCACACTCACTCAGCTGAGAGGGAACACTGCTCAGGACGCAAATGCAAAAAAAAAAGCCAGTTTGCACCAATGTTCCCTCTAAGCTGTGGAGTCCTGTGAGCAAAAATTCTACTTGGTGAGCTCCTGGCATTAAAGTTGTGAGCGAGCGATTTGGCTACTGCATGAATTAGTTTGCTCCGGAGCCATCCTTCCTGAGCTAAGACAAAAATGCGTGAGCTGGAGGCTAAAAAACCGTGAGCTAGCACACACTAACTCAGCTTAGAGGGGACACTGGTTTGCACTCCAGCTACTCCTTCGCATGGCTCAGTGGTGATATCACCCTCTCCCCCCCCCCCCACCCTCCCTTTTCTGCCTCCCAATCCCCTTCCCTGCCCACGCCGATCTCTCCAAATCTCCCTTCTCTCCTTTCTTTCTTTCTTACAGCCAAAAATGCCATCCCGGATCTCGTGCAGCATCCTTCGCCGGCTGCCGCGTGCCGTAACTGAATCCAAAGCGCCTTTCCTCCAAAAATGAAAAATAGCAAGCTGACGGTGGAGCGGGAAGGGTTGCACGCCCGCCGGCCGAGGGGGACTGTGCAGGATCGATGCCTTACCTTGCGGCAGGGGTCTGCAGAGCCTCCCGGAGCCTGTGACATGGGCGGGGAGGGGGGGCAGGCACCTGCCAGCGCCGTTCCCCGGCTGCCGGGGCTTGCACGACTGCAGTGAGGACTGAACCTGACTGCTGCAGAGGGAAGAGGCAATTAACTTCTCTGAATGCTCTAGCCAGAAAAGGGGTGGGGGGAGACAGGCTGCCTGCCTGGAAGACGAATGGGGGTTCGAACGGCCTCGCTGACATTCGGAACAGAAGCTCGCACCATCTCCCTACCCCGGTGGAATCTCCTCCTCCACCCCTTCCCCCCAAGTGGAACGGTCCTCCTCAGAACCAAATCTTCGCTGCAGGCAAGCAGGATGCAAAGTTGAAGAAAAGAAGCTAAGTTGGGAACAGCTGCCGGCCACCAAGGGGGGTCACCCCCAATGCTCCCTCTAAGCTGTGGGGTCTTGTGAGCAAAAAGTCTACTTTGTGAGCTACTGGCATTCAAGTTGTGAGCAAGAGATTTGGCCACTGCATCAATTAGTTTGCTGTGGAGCCCTCCTTCCTGAGCTGAGACAATAATGTGTGAGCCGGAGGCTAAAAAACGGTAAGCTGGCTCACACTCACTCAGCTTAGAGGGAACACTGGTCACCTCCCCCATACACACCTCAGGTGCCTAAGGCAGGAATTTATCATCCGCATGATGGGGGAGGGGGGAATTACACTGGCTCACCTTTCCCCAGCACCCCGAAATCTGCTGCCACCCCAAACTGAATCACTGCGCCTTACCTGCCAGGGCCAGCGGCAAGCTGCAAACCCGACGGCCCCAGTTTTCCATAGGGGAAGAAGGCGCTTATGTGGCAGGGTCCTTCGCCGGTCGACTGCCACCACGGCGCTCCCCTTCCATTTCTTTTTCGAGTAAAATGCAAGCCAGTCTTTTTTTTTTCTTGGCTTCCTCCGGCAATTTCCCGACGGGTGCTGAAATCCCGCAGTCCGCACGTAAGCGGAATATGGGATTTAGAAAACTGGGGGAGATCCTTCTCTTTTTCCCTTCGGAACCCGAAGGGAGGCTGTTCTATCAACAGAACAACAAGCTTTTAAAAGCCAAAAAAAAACCCCCAACCTAAAACCAGCTCGAGTCAGCTGCCGCAAAGGTCCCGCTACTAGATCCCTAACCAGCAACCTACCTTATTTGGTGAGGAACCATCGCAGGCTTCTGAAATGCATTTTTTGTTTGGTTTACATCTACCCTCCTTTCGCTGGGAAAATGACAGAGGTGGCCCGGGAGACGCGGGAAACTGCTCCGACTGTTTACATGCCTCGGGATTAGGACGGAGAGGTGGACAAACAAGGGGAATGTTCGAACACGACGGCCCATAGCCATTTCAGGCCAAGCTGGGGGCCGCGCGCATGCCAGTAGTACGGCTGCAAAGCTTCTACCGCCCGTGCTGACGTGCGCGGGAGGAATTCAGTGGCTCTCTGCATGTGTGCAAGACTCTGCGCTTGCACATCGGGACCCAGTTGGGAGGCCCTTTGGCTTATGTGTCATACACAGACCCAGGCAACATTCTGCGTTCTTCAGATGGGCACCTGCTAAGAGCCGGAAGCGAATCCAAAGGGCTTTGCTGCGGCGGCAGTGTCAAGTGCAGCGGGTCTCAAAGAGTGGGTCACAAGCGGGCGGCAGTTATGTCATAGGTGTGACGTGGGGCTCGAGTCCCTGAGATGAGAGAGGACGTTCTGGGACCGATGCTCCCTCTAAGCTGTGGAGCCTTGTGAGCAAAAATTCTACTTTGTGAGCTCCTGGCATGGAAGTGGTGAGCGAGCCGTTCGGCTGCTGCGTCGATTAGTTTGCTCTGGAGCCCCCATCCTCCCTGAGCCGAGACAAGAATGTGTGAGCCGGAGGCTAAAAAACTGCGAGCTAGCTCACACTCAGTGTTCCCTCTAAGCTGAGTGAGTGTGAGC